ATTCGGACGTCTCCAATAAAAACCTCCTGGATCGCGTCGTACACGAATATCTGTCCCATCTATTTTTGTTGTGAATTTTCTCCGAAGAATCTCAAGACTCCCCTTTCGAACCGCTATTTCGGTACATTGTCCCAGCTCTTCGAGCTTCTGAAATACCCACAATCTCCTGTTATCGGCCGAGTACCAGATTTCATTCCTTTTGACCACAGTTATAGGCGGTATGTCCGAGATTTTACACTTTCCTGCCAACAGGGCGTCCAATGTTTCACCGATATGTGTATCGGTATGATTGGATTTTTTGTCGAATACATTGTTGATAGAATCCTGACTAAATCGTATTTCACTCGGTCGAAGTTTTAACATTTTCTCGCTGCCTGACAATGTAAATCAAGATCAATGCATCACTTATATACATATTTGTTATCCAAGGACTATACCAATGTCAGTTTTGCTTCAGGTTCAATGACGTCATTCAGGTTCAAACGTACACGGTACCAAGATCAATGGAACTTCTTAATTTATGTTGATTTTTTTTTAACGTAGTCGTTAATATTTTTTAGGATTAGAACGTTTCGAAATTATGACTTGATCCTCATTTGACATGTTGTCCCCTTGATTATGCAATGGTATATCACACTTTATTGAGATAGGCTAGTCTAAAAAAACATCCTGTTGAACACGTAACTTTATTTAAATGTGTTGGAAACGTTCCAAAAGACACCGATACATTAATTCAGCCCAGTCCATTGTCACCAGATACGTCAACAGATAAACTATACGACTGTGCTGTGTGTATATTTATTTCAAACCCAGGTGTGCAAGCCTTATGATATTTTTTTTCTTTTTCTGTCTGTTCGCGGAAGGTGGTATTATGATCTGCTTAGCGACACTTGCTATATTGATATTTAAAGTAATACATACACACTTCAAATTCAGGTAATTTTAGTCATTAACGACAGGCCAAATAGGCCTGCATCGCTCACCCGGTATTAATCTCTCACTTGTTCCCTAAAATTTGACTAAAATCTATGACTGTAAGTCATTCAAAAATAAATGTTAAAAGATTGAAACATATATAACCCCTGTGATTTTAAAAGTCTAACAATGTCATGAAGTTTAAAAGACTATAATTACATTTGCATGGCATTGTCACTATATAGCCTCTTTGAAAGCTGTGTCGTTGATGGGACTTTAATTACCATGCATCACGAGACACAATTCTTAGCGTATTAATACAACACTGACCGGAACTACAATATCCAATATAAATAAACATGACGGCTGCTGAAATATCGCTGGGCATTGTGAGATTTGACAATGTCATTGTAAATTTATGTGCAAAATAAAAAATAAAATAAAAAACACTTTTATTACAACGAAAACAAGACCAAGGTCTGCAATATCGTACAAAATGCACATCGGTTGAAATCACCAATGCCGGCAATGGAAACAATTTTAACGCTCATGCAATTTATCAGAAATATCGTCTGTTACACTGCACTGATCAACAGGGGTTCGTTACAAATGTCTGAAATACACATATTCTATAGACCTACTGACACATATGTTACAGACCTACTGATATGAGTCACAGCACACATAAACATTTCAGACATTTGTAACGAACCTGTGCTCCGTCGCAAGATCACTCACTTAAAATGCTATCTCTCACGCGTCTCGCATCCACCATTCCTCAGTTTCTGACGACATGTCAAATAACGAGGATGTTATAGAATCTACCGACTGTTGTCAGGTTCCCATACAATCAACAAATACATTCACGCCTGGATTCTTCACAAAATGAGAAAAGAGAAAAGTTCGAATTAACTTCCAAAAATAACTCCCTCGTGGAGGGCAAGGTCGGATTTACGGTGTTCACTGTATTTGTCCATGCGCGAAATTTGTTCCGGGGAAAAATCGAAACAATTTCAAATATAACTTTCAGCTCAGAGTTCTATTGATAAACTTAAATCACTCTATAGACATATCATACGCAATTGTATTGATACTGAATTGTGGAATAAAATTGAAGTGTTTGTTAAAATGTCAAAGCACTACTTTGTTTGCCGATCAGCACGCGACAATACGCTGTTCAAACTATTGAACGAAATTGTATGGACTGTCGATAAGGCGGGCATTTTTAATTTTAAATATAAATTATTAGTTAAAAAAGAACATAAGAGGCAGAGAAAACGTAAATATAAGTATAGCGCGCATTATGTTGTTTGCTTGCAAAGCTGTGTCATTCAAATAGATAATAAATACCATACAAAAACAGTTCAATGCTAAATATAGCCCTTCATCTCGGAATGCAACTTGCAAAATATCACCACCCTAGATCTTTTGTTTATTGAAATAAATGTTTTTTCACATATGGCAATATGTTACGGTTAACTTAAAGTCTTAGCATGTTACTTGCGAATTATCATTATTATGGGCCTTTTTGTTCCTCAAAAGATCTCCTTTAAAAGTTTTAAAGACAATAAACTTGGTATCACTTCATCCCAGCATGTTACTTGCCTAATGTCATCATCATGGGCCTTCTAGTTATTAAGAAGAGGTTGTTTATAGATTTTGAATATATTTGACCCATGTGTCCTTGAATATACGCAAAGGTTATTCATTTGCGCAAACTTGATAGTTCACTAATCCCAGCATGCTTCTGACGAAATATCATCACCCTAAGCCTCTTGGTTCTTGCAAAGAAATCGTTTAAAGTAAAAGGTTGACACCTGACTGACGACGGACAGACTGACAGACAGACAACCAGAAAGACGGACAATTATCTTCCTGAATCTTTTGCAAAAGAAGTCCTTTAAAGATTTTAAACATATTTGACCCATTTAACCTTGAATATAAGTCAAGGTCATTAATTTTAATCAAGTTGGTAGCCCTTCATCCAAACATAATACTGGCTAAATATCATCATCTTGGGACTTCAATGTTATTCAGAAGTTGTTTAAAAAATGTTTTTAAAATAATTAACCCATGTGACCTTGAATACCAGTAAAGGCATTCATTTTATTCAGAAAAAGTTGTTAAAGTAAAAAGTTGACGCCGGACGGACGACGGACGCCGCCTTTCGGGCCAAGTTAGTTACAAAACATGACACAAAACTTTATATACAGAGGAAGTAAATGTTCGGGCCTAGAATATTCCTTTCAATGTATTTAATTGTAGAGTGCAATGTTTTTCGTGTTATGGTCAGAGCTCGGATATTTCTCCACTTTTAATAATTGAATATCATATTGGCATATACAGAGGTACCTCTAATACAATCTAAGCATGCAATTCCTAGGACAATAACGTTAACCTTGCATACATAATATTTTTTGTCAAAAATGAACAAAAATCAATTCAAATTATTTTGATTTTACAGCAGGTTTATTTCACAAAAGTCACAATAATTGAAAAATTAGAAACATAAGATAATATTTAAAGAGTCTGTAAGTGAAACCTTGCCACTATAACAGTCAATATATTGATGCTGATTTCTTAAGCCTTGTTTTCCCACATTTGTTTTATTTCGATCATATTAGTGTCAAGCATGCACTGAAACACAATATCTGTAATGACAGACACTTATATGCCCGCCTCTTTTTTCAATTCACATAATACGTACATTGTAAAAGTGTTATAACAAAATGATAAAAATCTTTCTTAAAATTAACCAAATTACATAACTACAAATGATACACATTACTGCATTCATCACAAAAGTTGTAAAATATACACCTAACGTTGTTTAATCTGCATACAGTAGAGGTGTGCACTATATATTTTGACAATGTACGACCTATTTTTTTTAATATGATATACAACTTCTGGGAACCAGCTTGCCAGTTGTAGTCTCTTTTTCGGTAATTCTTGATATACATGTAGTAGCATCGTTAGTATATCTTCGCTCGTGAAAACACAAGACAGTACTTCCCAATATAAATTTTATGTTTATACATTCCTACCTGACTCAATGTAACAATGTCACGACTAGATACATGCTTATATTACCCAAGGTCATACGTCTACTTAGTATATGCCATCCTCACCCATGTCAGTATATTTAAGTGATGTAATTTGAAACTAAATACATACAATCTTTTATCTTTACTCAAGTTATTTTATTTTGATACTAGATACAAATCATGTTTGTATAAAATCATTAAGCTTGTTTACCCGTCCCTTTAAGATTTTATAAAATAGCTGTATTTAAGTAATTGTAAAAATAACGTTTAATCTGAACAATATTTGCCCAGTCATTGTACATGTATATTGAATGTGCAAAATCAAACTAGATACATGTACATGTCATACTTACCCAAAGGAATGTATTTCAATACTAGATCTATGACACCTTTAGCAAAGTGAATGTACCTTAATACAAGATACACACTATCTTTACAAACATGAAAATACTACAATTCACAAAATACATTAAATTGCATAATCATGGTGTTGATATTCATTATCTACGCTTTTTCTACTACTACATTCCATTACCCGATAATTGGCTGATCCTTGATCACATTATCACAGCTCTGTAACATACACTTTACTCATTATTAATTTGAAATTATCCATGACTCCTTTAATTAAGTTTATGTAATTAAAGGGTTTTATGAAACTCTCCTTCTGTTTAAACATACTTTAGACCTTTTTGGATTTAGGCCTTTTGGGATCCCTTATTTCACCGATTAGTCCTAAAAGAACAAAATAGCTTTACAGTGCGGAGTTATTCATTGTTTTGCCTAAATTATCTGTTACCATATTTTATAAGTGCACTCCCTTCATCCTAACAGAGACGAGGGTATCCATACACTATTCCTCAACTATCAATGATTTCTATTATTTGATAATACATATATAAACTCCAATGATCTCAACAATAAATACTTGTTTTACTTGAGAAATGTATGTTCTATCAAAGCATAAAAGGCATTGTTCAGTTCCCACTCTTGATGATTGTCGATTCGAATAAAATTTAAACGCATTAAAGCCATTACTTCAGTGTCCGCTTGTTTATTCACCAGACAATTGCGCATGCTCAGGGAGCATACCAACATACAAATACCCGGAGGGAGCAGTTATAAATTATAACATTATGATACGAATTACTAAAACACTACAGGCATTGTTTTGATTTAATACTTTTGTATTTCCATAATGCAACTGGATTTGGCACAAGTCATACAATTTATATAACGCTCTTTCAATAAATAAACAATCATATATACAACAAAATTACAAGAGTACGAAATATTAAAGTTCAAGTAGAATCCTAATGTGGTAATAATGAAATCGGACCATGTGGTTGCTCTTTCTCCATGCAAACGGAACTAGTGATTATCTGTTTGCTGTTCATAATGTTCTGCCGTTCAATTGTTCATCACTTTCTGTGCTAATAACGTCCTCTTGTTCACTCCTTGCCTGCTGGTGTTTCTGTTTCCACTAGTCGGCTGTCATAGAGAGAAAGACCGAGCACAAGGTCCAAATACATTTTCGCATACAATTATATTTATAAAGCGATTGTATATAATACTATGATAATCGGATATCGATAGACATGTGAGAGAGGGAAAGAAGGGAGGAGAGAGGGATTGTAATTAAAATCGATAAGAATCATGAATGTATTGCCGAGTGTGCATGAAAATCCAAATGTTTTTTTGTTCCGAATTATTTGTATCGCCAAAAAGAAGTAGGTTCAGAGTAAGAGGTACACGTATGTATTTGTTAAGCCCACGATAAAGTTAAACTTAAGGCATTTAGGGCATTGACATTTTGTCTTAACATTTTGTTATACAGTATTTCATTTTTAGACATAAAATGGATTATTAAGAATATTGTATATATAATACTTAATAACTAATCAATATGTAAATGTTAAACCAAATGTTAATCTATCACCTACTTCATTAAATCAAATTAAAAACGTAATAACAAATAAATTTTAAATAAAATAATATGTGGTATGATTTGCATATTGTATGCTAGCAAAACGAACGGTAAAAAGTAAGGGTAATTTAAAATGCACACATGTAACATGTGGTATCAAAGTATTGGTAAATATCACATACGCATCATACCTACGTAATCTTTATTTACATATGTCACGCGCATGCTATGAAATATATATAAGACATATATTCTAGTTTGCTTGTTTACATCATTAATGTGTTATATTTGATCTTTTTTAAATATATGCTTAAGTTTTATTTTTTATTATCATGGATGTGCTTACAAAAACCACAAACTCCTTTATTAATAAAAAGAAACTATTCATAAGATTATTTCTATAAATGGATTTGATAGTTATCACCGTTATCGCATAGTTTAATTTTTTAATTTTCGCCTGTATATTACAGAACTGACCACATACTGAGCTCATTACTCCGTAATTATTTCAGTATAATCATAAACAGAGCTTAAATCATTGAGGGATTTACCAATCATTCTTGGCATCGTATTGTCCAGGAGTTGTCGATCCTCTATAACAATCGCAGCGATTTCGGATTTTGTTGATTTCTGGAAAGCCCAAAGACGCCTATTTCCGTCGATGACACTCATTGCTGTTTCGGCTTGCCAAACAACGATGGATGGTATATTTTGGCATTCCAGATTTTCAGAAATCAGGTCATTGACGAGAGTCATTACATTGACCCCTGAATGATCTCCTGAAGAAAAGGTCATTGGAATAACAGCTTTGGTGAACTTAACACTCATCGGGTCAATGTGCGTAACATTCGGGGCCTTGTGCCAGTAGCCACCTGGTTCTGCTTCGTCTTTTATCTCGACAGAAACACCACGATTTTCCGACGACCTTTTTATTGAGCTGATATAAAACACCTCTCGGAAAGAAATCTCTTTACACCTGCCTGGAAGAAAACAACGCATTCATGTCATAAACGGGGAAAACCCAAGAAGGTTCATAGACCTGGGCAGATTGAACAAAATAGGGCCGACATTAAAACAACGAATATAAAACAAATATCAAACCTTATTCTAAAGTTCGGTTTCCATCTGGTTGTGTTTAGATTTTAGCCGGAGTAGGTTGTCGAACTTACTCATGGGCCGAACTATGACCAGTCTCTCCTACTAGTAATATTGCAATATTCGTGTTTGAATTTTAAAGGAATTAAAGTTGATGTATATTCATTACTTCAAAAATCTCCAAACAACAGTAGCTGAAACTAATCATTTATACGAATATAATCTCATTTTCCCCGTGTGTATTCCGAACCATTTGACATTGTTTGCTTGATGCCGCAAATATATCAACGATTTACCATCACAAACCCCAAAGTTAAGAGCATACCTAGTCTTTCCAAGTGTCTGAAAATCCAAAGACGACGGTTGTCCGCGGTAATCCAACGAGTCTTCTTCCCGCCTACCAACGTCTCCCCACCTGTCTCCTCGTCTTCCTCCTGTTTTAAATCTATTTCCGGAAGTGATGTCATTGATAGTCGACCCTCCATTATCTCGTCTAGGGTATCGCCAATGGTCATGTGTCCGTGCCCAGACCACCGCCGAAAACGATGGTAGACTACCTTCTGACTAAAACAGATGTCAGACGGTCTTAATTTAGACGGTTTTGTATTTTCTGACAAAGACCATGAAACCTCCATAACAATAGATGGCTCTAGATCTGTGGGCAGTTACCTAACACACTATTGAATTATTTACTGTATTATCACGTCTAGGCAAACGCTTTCAGGAAGTCTTTATTTTTCGAAACCGAATATAGAATTTACAGAATCGAAAGCGAAACTGAAATTAAGTTTACAGAAATTAATGTCGATTTGTTTAAATATAGATGGATGCTTTTCCTCTGTTTACATTTCGATACGAAAATGGTCGAATCATATGCATTATAAAATGCGCATTAGTTATCTGGGCTATCCATGAGTCTATAGTGATGGATCAAAAATGTTGTCAAAGTTTTGTCTGTAATCGCTTTTGTAGTCTGACTATGTATTTGTGGTAGACAGACAGACAGACAGAATTTCTCGAAAAAGCACTTATTGTTAATTGGTCATCTGGTAATTAACTAAAAGGCAAGTTTTTAAAGTCTATATTTAGTAACACCAGTACGTACGCCTATTTCACAGCGTGTATTACAACAAGTGTCGTCTGCTAGGAGGAACAAAGCTGGCAGACTACACATATACGTACGTGACTCGCAATAAATAAGATCCGGTGGAAAAAAATGTGTAATTTGAAGAAAACAAAATGAAATACACATTTTACTCATAGTTCTCAAAATTGAATGTAGCAATCAGTTCATAACAGATTGTTTCCTAAAGACATGAATTTCCCCCTTTACATGTATTTCTTTAAATGTGAAACATTTTAATTCATCTGACGAGTAAATGTTTCATTTGTTTTATTTAAAAAGCAATGGTTCGAGGGATTTCATAACCAACATCTGCAAACACGTCGTCAGTGTCATTGATAGGACACATAAACATAAGTTGTGTGTGAGGGCAATATAACGGTGAGGCCGTCTGGAAAAGTCTAGAGAGGAAGTCGTAAATAACACGTGTGCTGCGCATCACGTAATGCGATCAATACATGTGACAAGCAAGAGTGAGGCATGACTGTACAACGTCGCTATCTTAAGTAAACACGAAACATTGATAATTAACAAAATATGTGTATGAGTCTTTATTGCAAAATACAATTGTATATGTCAGAAATTTGTGTATAAATTCGAACATAATTACGGTACGATATGATGGAAATAGTCAATTATTGTTAGGAATGTTTATTTAAGTGGAGATATTGAAGCTTGTAATCTTAGATTTTGTTACGAAAGAAGTTGATAACAGAATAAAAGTAAAGATAATTTTTGCAACGTTATTTAACCCTCAGTTTTGCGTTCGATTTGGTATTTCTCAAGAAAAATGTAAGAGTTATGTCCCTTCGTCTACATATTGCTTTAAACTATATTTATTTTGAACATTTCTGAATCAAATTTAACGATTTAATGTGAAGCATTCTTATTTGTCGAGATGGTAGTCAAAAGTGGGTTCTAATGTGTGAGGTAACAGGAGTTCCAGAGATACCCCACGTGGTCGGCAAAATGACCTCATACCTATTTACGTCCAATCGGTGGGAGGCGATTGTGTACTGTCCACTCTGCCACACATTTACTGAAGCTCAGAGCAAATTCCTACCTCACATGTAAATAGTCGTCTGCTAGATTCAGGTGATGATCACACAGAATAAACTTTGTTTCTATCCGCGAAGCGTGCCATCAAAGCATTGCAAAGAACGGGAGGAACGCCATCACAAATACTTGAACAAACACAGCCTGCCTCAGCTAATAATGGTAAGGACCAAGGATCTATTGAGAACAGCGAAAGAAGTGACACGTTTATCTCCGAAATGGCAATGAACAGGAATCTTGATAACTCATTCATTAGTAAAAGTAACGATTTGGCGTATCAAAGGTAGTGTTGTGTGTTTGCACGCGAAACAAAAAAAGAAAAATAGGGAAAGAGGTACCTTCGGTATTCATCACTGTTCTTAAAAAAAGAGGGTTTTAGTTTACCTTCATATGGGGGCATATGACCTCCTAAATTGACTTTGAACCCTCAAAATGGTAGAGGCTTACTATAGAAAGAGGACAGAATTTGGTATGTATGCCTGATCCTACCACAAACTTTTATGTCTCGCAAAATAAACTGGAGAAAGAACAAAAGTATAAAAGCATTTAGTTTATAACGATCTATAGATGTTTATCTAGTCCTGGATATGACATACTAGATGAATATATTCTATGACACAAAATAAAACTTTTTTTACCCTAACGTATATTTTGATTGTACAGCACGCTCGTCGTCAATATAGTGCTGGCCCCTAAAATGTTGTCGTGTGATGTAGGCTTATGACGTGACACTCGCCGGTTTGCGTTTTTAGTAATCGTTTTATATCATAATCTGCTAAGGCTGAGAGTCTAAGTGCTCTGTGGTATGTTTCCATCGAAGGAGAGTTCTTTTTTGGTATTTAAAAAACTTGGATTTGCATGTTCATGCAAAGAGTTATAAACAAAAGAAAGATATGCATCATCAGTTTATCTTATAACAAAACATTTACACCGATGAAGACATTTGATTTACGTCCGATTCTGATGAGGAAATATCTCTATACTATATAGAAAATATTCAAGACCAGTTTATATCATACACCAATGCATCCTTTAGGACATTTATTTGATTTAGGCATATGAGATGATGCGTTCATGTTTACCATATGGCAACGTGATTGTGGAGATTGTGGCAATCGGAAGTAAGTCGTTGCGAAGATTTAATATTTCATTTAATTATGGTCTCGATTTTTTTTATTGTTCCTGCCTTTAATTTGAAACATTTAAAAAAAATCCTGTTTTCTCCAATTGATGTCTCACAATTTTATTTGAATTATGGAATCTTTTTATGGGACCTAAATAATTGTTAATTTCATTAGGTAGATCCGGAAGCGCCTTGCATTATCTCCTGAATAAAGTCTTTCCTTTCATTGTAATATGGTAGTTATGCAGTTTATTGAATAAGCGTAGTTATAGTGTCTTTTAACAACAAGAAGTTATGTAACTGAAATGGTTTAATTATGTAACATGCAGGGTATCAATTGAAAAGACAGATAGGATATAGGAAGAAAAAACATTTCTTTTCTAACTTTTTTATTGAACAACGGAGAACTCCGAAAGTATCTTTCCAAATGCATTTCACTATTTGTCACATACAGACCTAAATTTAATATGAGCAATCGTTACTTTGAACGGGGGCTGCCTCGAAATAACAATATTCATGCAATTATTGCAAGATACAGTTTCGAAGTGCAATACTATAGTTGTCCCCGCGAGCAGTAGTCATGCAGGCCCCTTACAGCACACTAGGGTTCATACGCTGTCAATGTTGGACTTTTACGCATGCCGACTGGAGCTGAAACACTATGAAAGTAATCTTCCCAAAATGCTACCAACCTATCATGAAAAGTTCAAATCATAGGTTAACTTGTCCAAAGTCGATCATTCTTAAGTTATTTATTTTTTCATTAACTCTTGGGACAATTTAAATGTTAATTGAAAAACAAAATGTTAGAACTTCTTTTAAAATGCAATTAACTCTTACACTGTTCGTGTTTAGCCACAAATGATGACGTTCAAAAGAGGATGGCTCCATTGATGGGTCTATTTTTGTGTCTGATTGGCACTCACAAGAATTTGGCAAGCTCCGGACCAAACCAATTAGAGAACTGCAACACATCGTGCTGTTGAAGTGCCCAGTGAAGTGGATGCAACGAGGATAACCTGCTTAATTAAAACTCTCCAAAGACAAAGAATTAGCAGAAAAATAAAAAAAATAAAGGAAACGTTTTTTAATTATCCTTTGAGTGAGAACCAAACGGTTTTGGACATTATCGAAAGGTTTGCAATTCTGAACGGTTTTCCTGCTGCAGAGGAATCTTGTAATACATGAAACACATGGGATTCTTTAGGAAAATCACTTGATTAGTTGAGGAAAAAAACACTCTGACCTAAAATTATCAGAAACGTCGACTACTTCAAGAAATGAATGAAACACGGCCAACATTTCATTAAGTAAATATTGTTACTTCTTTCCACTAATACACGCGCACGCAAATGCATATCACTCTACTATGACGAAAATATAACAGACGTACCCGTACAGTAAAAGCGAAAGTCCTTGCGTTTGTGTAACTCTTTAGAGGGTTTAGGCCACAATTGTTCATACTTTCATATTTTACGGTCAGGGGATGCAATAATACGTGTAGTCACCGGGACCCCGTTTCTCTCGGTACTCAGATGATGGACAGGCCGTGTGATGCGATGACATTTTCGTTGGTAATCGTTCTAATCATGATATGTGAATATTTCCCGCTTATTTACACAACACCAAAAATGCGAGTTTTTCGAAACTGCTAATAACTTGGTCTTGTACATTAAAAATACGCCAATATCAATCATGGTAGGATTTGGCTGGATTGCGGTCAAGATTCAATCCCCGAGTTCCTCGTGACATTTGCTTACTTACTTTTTACTACTTCTGCCCACACCTCCAATATAAAATGGTCTTGGACTGTTGCTTCATTGCCTGCGTTGTAATATTCAAGTAAGATAACCCTATGGGCCGGGAGAGGGGGAGGCTGTTAACAGTACATTTTCGCCGCAAGACAGAATAAATATCTCTTTCAGCACACTCGTGTGATAAGGCTTATTTCTGAGAATTTTCTTATTGTATTGCTTGTTTGATTTTAGAAGTTGGGTATCTATCAACAAGCACTGTAAAGCACTGCAGCAGGATTTATTCAAGGTAGGGGCGCTATATCTAAAGAGGTACAGTAATGATAATAACTAGCCTGCAAATGACGAGGAATATCAGATTTCAAGTCAAATAATAAGACAAATGTTATTTACTATCGAATCATATGAACTTTGAAAGTACACATCTTTTAAACAGTGCCTAAGGATTTATAAAGTACAGAGTAATATCGATTTACGAAACAAACATGACTATTAAAGCGCATTTTGTTTGATGTATAACCTCCACAAAGACTTTGGCGGAGAACCACAATTTGTAATAGATATGGTCACATGGACTTTTATCCTCAGCTATGCACTTTTCCGGGAAAATAAACATTTTTAATGGAGTCGACAGCGTTTTACTCATTTGTTGTCAAGC